ATGAATCTGCTGCCATCTAGTGGCTACACTGAGTGTTACAGCAGAGCAGCTGCTTTATAAATGAAAAACAGAACAAGAAACCAGCGTTACTCTGCCATCCAGAGGAAATATCTGGCTGTGCATCATGTTTCTGAGATTTTTACAGTAGCCTCAGTTTTCTGTGAATTCCATCCTTTTCTTTTGGATGTTCCCTTTACTGGTCTCCATAGTGACTCGTCAGCCTCCATCCCAGCATCCTCCTCCTCCTTCTAACATACCCTCTGTTGTATTTCTCTTTTCCTCCTGCCTGCAGCTCCATCTTCACCATCCTTTGTCCAGGATATCCACTCTCCCTCCTCTGCACACGTCCAAACCATCATAACCTTTCCTCTCTAACTAAAGTCATCCAGGCTTTTACGTCTTTAAGATGTGGCTGTAGTTTAGCTAACTTGATGTTTTTCTGTTAGTATGTTGACGCGGGTGGACAGTTCCAACCTGCACTGAACTCTGTTATAATTGTGATGGTTTTATAATTTAATTTTCTTAAATTTCACACATGGCATCACATCTGAGTAGTGTTTACCTGCCTCGTCCATCTTTGTCACAGCTGCAAAATTAAATTACCATGACAACATCTCAGTACAGCCAGATAAACACCTGATACAGGGGCTTCATCTAAGAGGTAACAAAGTACAGGTTAGGTTTCAAAGTTTACTCATTAAAAGCTAAAATGTGTTTTCGACCCGACTGTTGTGCAGTTTTCTCTCAGTGGGAAAAGTAAAGAATGCAATGATCTGCACATCTCATAAATTTACTTACAGTTAAACATGTAAAACATATCAAATCGTTAAACTGAGATTCCTTTTGTGTTTCATAAAAATAATTCAGCTTATTTTGAGTTACCAACATGTCGAGAGCTCTGGTTCCAACATGCAGGCTGGAAGTGGTCTAAAAAGGGCAAGCAGCATAATAAGTAAATAAACAGGCCTTTTGTGAACCACTAAAACATGTATGAAGGGCCATGTGGGCGTATGTGCTGCCCTCTAGCTGCCGAGACTAATTCAGAGCCGCCACCTTTGGCATTATTAATTTGCAGTTCTTTTCTACTTTGTAATTCGTGTTCTCTTTATCGGTAAACCGCACTGACACAGCACTTGACTCTCTGTAATTCTTACCTGGATGATAACTGGAACCTGTACGACTTAATAAGAAGAGGTGGACGTCCACTTAGTGTGACACTTTTTACTGTGGAAACAAAAACAAACAAGCAAAGAATAAAGAAATAAAAGATAATAAACACTAAATCTGAACTCTTTATGTGCTGTCTCTGAAAACACTGAACATAAAATGTTAAAAACATAAAGATGTTTATTCCTTATTTAAACTTCCAGCCTTTTGTGTGACCTGCATGAAACAGTTCACACAATCACCAACAGGGGGCGATGATGGCCTCATGGGCCAAAAGGTCACAATGATTATGAAATCGCTCCAATGCGACACTTCTCCATCTGTTCACATCCAAAATAACTTCTCACTGTTGTGTAATGATTCTTCATCCCCAGCAGACGAGAGAAACGCTGTAACAAGAAGGTTTTACCGTCTGTGTCAGTTTCACTTCCTCCTTCCTGTGACGGTGTGAGGCCTGCATCAGCACCACACTGCAGCAGCAATGATTGATAACACAAACACTCAGACAAACATCCTCAGCAGCCTGATAACGCAGTGTGAAACTACCCACAACTGTGAAACAATCAGTTTGTCTTCCTTTTTGTTTCATAAAACCACAGAAAGATTATGAAACAACCTCCGACACACCGAGACCCGAAACATCAGAGCTGTGAAATGTAGAGAAAGGGAATTCCCGACATACACTGAAGGGGTTAAATCTGTAAATGGTGCAGGAGGAGGAGAAGCTGCAGATGACTGATATGTAGCTGACACAGCGATGAAACAGACCTCCTGTGATACTGTGGAGAAAGACTACGAGCAGCAGCTGTGAGGAGCATCACCTGCAGGTAGATGAGCTGATCTCAGTGCTGACACGTGTATGTTGCTGTGTGGGAACGAGTGTAGTCAGTTCTCTGTGTGTGCTGACCTCTTCATGGTCTGACAGAGGCCAGGGTACATAACTGGCTCCTGACCAGCTTCAGCCTGTGTCCACCAACAAGGTGTGTTGGTACAATATTTGAGCGTTGATGGCCCAGTGCTCCTCTGCAGACTCAGACACACATTTTCTACACTTATAAAACATTTGAAACAGAAAGAATAAAAAGCAAACAGCACTCAAAAGTCAAATATATTTAAACCAAGAGTTTAATACACAAAATCTGATGACCGTGACAACAAAATATGAAAGATTTTGTTGTCATTGTACCAATGTAAATATCTTGGGGTCATTCTAGACCCAACATTTCCTTCAAGAGTCACATAAATAAAGTGTCCCAGGTACTTAAATTTAATAATCGAAATTTTAATCATATACGTAATAATTTAAATATGAATGTTGCAAAAACATATTTTTACTCAATGATCATCTCTCATATGGACTATTGTTTGACGTCCTGGTCACTTGCTTGTCCAACAACACTTAAAACTATTGAAAACATTTATAAAAGAAGTTTAAAACTACTTGGCAAAAAAAACGACCTCGCACGACCACTGTCATGTGTTAAAAATCATAAATTACTGAACTTCAATAACTTAGTGAAACTTAAAAGAATGTGTTTAATATATAAAGTCTTACACTCCCTTGCTCCGCCACCACTAAAGCAATTTGTTTAAGGCACAGGTTAAAAACTGGTTATGGACAAATCAAGTGTGTGATCATGTATAAGTTGTATAGTTTAAATGTTTTATTTGGGAATAGAAAAGTGTGTATGTGTGAGTTTGGTGATGGAGTTTTTATTATGAATGAATTATGAATTATCATGTCTATTTTTTTATGTTTTACGGACAAAAGATGGAAATTCGCCCTTGGCTATAATCTGGTCTTTTTATATTAATGGAATTTTTTTTTACATTTGTGTTCATTAACATGCACTGGCCTAAATAAATTAAAATAAAATAACAATGTTAGTATTTAAAGTCCAACATCTCCCTCTAGTGGTCATATATAAACCATGTGGGAGGATGGTGTTCATTATATTCCAGCTACCACAGTTTAACAGGCTGGATAAACTCTGCACGTCTCCTATCAGTCTTGTGTCTAACACAGACACACAAACATTCACATCTACGACCAATTTAGACTCACAGGTTAATCTAACCGCCTGACTGTGGACTGTGGGAGAAGCAGAGTGCCCAGAAACAGCCATGCAGACCCCACACAGAAAGATGGATGCTGGATTCAAACCCAGCACCTTCTTCCAGTCAGACAACAGCATCACCATGCTGCCTCAGGGGGACGTCCACTAAATGGTTATAATGGTTGTAGTTTGTTTCATTAACTAAGCTGCAACACTGACAGCAGACTGAAGTAGAGTCGATGTTTTAAATGATATTTTTAATTGATTTGTTGTGAATAAAGTCATAAATGTCATTTATTGATTATCACAGAGAAACTCAAATATCATGTAATCATCTCAGTTAACCTGAAATTATGTCAAAACAACGTTGCTGGTTTCTAAACTTTTGAAAGCACAAAAGGTTTTATGTGTTTCTGTGTGTTACACTTAAAAAAACAACTTAATTTTAAAGGTTTTGCAACAAAAGAGGGACTGCAGAGTGTCTAAGTTCATATTCTGGAATAAATTTATCACATGAATCATTAATAGGTTAGAAATCCACCAATAACTCTACAGATGGAGGAAGAATATGTGCTCAGAGGAAGAGGGCGGGCTTTACTTGGTGTCAGTGAGAGAAATGAAAAAAAGCTCAAATGAGTGAGAAGGACGATGAAGGAAACATCTGTGCTGTGTCTGCTCTGTAAGTAGAATCTCTGTGTTTGTTTGAATTCTTGTACTTTGACTGTCTGCTCTCCTGATAACTGATGATGGAGGAGAAGACATGAAAAACAAATCAGGCTGAGTTCAAGTTCAAACACCACGAGGACCAACTGCAGGTCTGAAGTTTCACAGAGTTACTGATGAATTACTGACTGTGAAGCACTATGGTCAACACTGTTGTTTTAATATGTGCTATATAAATAAATTTTGATTTGATTAGATTTTGAATTTATGAGTGAAAAGCTGAAATAAAATGTTGGTGTTTGTAAGAACAGAGCAGAGTGGTGCACTCTTACGTGGACCTCAGTTTAGTGCTAGTCTTTTGTATTTACTAATACATACAGTTACGTATTATTACAACATAACTGTATGTGATTCCTTTTGTAACAGTAACTACATTAGAGCATGAAATATGAAATGTTGTGATTAGTTTCATTGTAGAATTATATATCAAATATTACAAAGTTGTTCTTTATGTTCACCTCAAATCAACCTGAGTGTCATTTCTCTTTAGTTCTGATCTCACTGCTGAGCTGCACAACAAACCAAGGTCAGTAACCTTCTTCTGTCACAGTTTATACCTGAAAATCTCACTGATTTACCATTGGTTCATGTTTAGAATATATCAAACTAGCATTTTAACCCTCACAGCTCGTCTGACTGTGAGTCCCAGCAGCTCTCAGTTCTTCGAAGGAGACTTTGTGTCTCTGAGCTGTGAGGAGGACGACAGCTCTGCTGGATGGACTCTGAGGAGAAACGTAAGCAAAGGACAGAGGACTCAGTGTGGAGATGGGTGGGGAAAACCAGCTGGTTCTTCCTGTAACATCGATGTTTTCACCCATGACAGTGGAGTTTACTGGTGTGAGTCCAGAGAGGGTCCCATCAGTAACATGGTTAACCTGACAGTCACTGGTAAGCTGAGTGTGTGGAGTTAGTGTTGATGAAGCTGTGTGTAAATGGATGAAATGCTGTAGTTTGTCTCTGTGTTGAGGTGGATCAGTGATCCTGCAGAGTCCTGTCCTCCCTGTGATGGAGGGAGATGACTCACTCTGCTCTGTAAAAACAAGACCACTCCCTCCAACCTCCCAGCTGCTTTCTATAAAGATGGCATCTTCATTGGGAATGAGTCAACAGGTCACATGACCATCCAGCATGTTTCCAGGTCTGATGAAGGCCTCTACAAGTGTGACATCAGCGGTCATGGAGAGTCTCCATCCAGCTGGATCACTGTCACAGGTGACACACTCACCTGTCTGTGTTTCTGCAGCTTTCAACATTCACAGTAAACTAATGATTACATGTTGTATGTTTAAGGGAAACCTACAACCACATCTCCATCTACTCCCACACCTATATATACATCCACCTCTATCCCTACATCAGCCTCTCCTCCGCATCTTGTTCTTCCTGTGGTAATCTCTGTTGGGTCAGTCTGTGTTGTGGTTCTACTGGTGTTACTGGTTCTGCTGGTGAGAAAACATAATCACAGAAAACCTGAAGGTGAGTCTCAGACTTCCTGATTTTTCACGTGTGGACTTTGATTTGTTGAACAATTTAAACATTATTATGATTAGATTTCAGTGTTTATTTTATCTGTCTGTGATAATAACATTTGCATTCATACGATAAATCATATTACTGTTACATTTCAGCAGATCAAGACAAAGCTGCAGGAGAAGATGTCACATACAGTGACGTCAAGATATCACATGGTCGACAGCAGCCTGTGAAACACAGCAGAGGTAATGTTTGGGGAAATTTTGGCGGGAGATGGTGTCAGAAAGCTGTATGTTTACGATAAGGGAGATGTGCCAGTTTTATACCACTAAAGCATTTCCAAATATATAAAGCAAATCTTTGAAAAGCATGTAGAGTTCACTTCATGTGACAGGAACAGTCGCCTCAGATAAAGACCTTCAGTAACAGATGATCCTCTACAGGAGAATCTATGACACAGTTCAGTAACATGGAGATTGTTTGAGAAACAAGCATCAGCTGAAATAGGTAACAAATGACTTGTTACTTTTGTAAAGATTTACGTGAGTGCACTTATCATTTTTCTTGGCATCCTGTGTCCATGTAGCTTATTCGATAGACTGTATACCAAAGATGGACAAGGCTCTATGACATCATCCACCAGTTTCTGAAAGTCTGCAGCATTTTCAAGCCTTAAAGTAAATGTTTCTGACACGTTAGTTTATTTAGACTAATGTGACTCTGTTTTTTATGAGAAGGAGAAGTGTGAAGTTATCAATGCCAATGCTAGCTAGCTCATATAGCTGCATCCACAGACAGCATGGGGCAGATAACTGGGCACATGTTTAGTAGAAGCGTGACCTGCTGGAGGGAAAGGGGTCTAAGCAGCTTTGATCAGATTTGATTGGCTCCAGAGTGGTTAGATTTGGGCTAACGTTTCAGGAACGTAAAATCGAGGGCACATAAGAAACTGGAAGCATGTGAAAGTGTGTGTTTTGAGCCCTGGATCATGAGGAGCTTCATCTTTTCAAGAGGTTAAGACTGTGCGTTAGTCTAACGTTGTGCGTTTATGATAGATCGCGAGAATATTATGAAGCATGTTAGGCATATAGCTCACCTTCATAATTTACACATTTAATGATAAAGATTATTCAGTTAGTTAAATGGCTTTTTCATAGGTAGTTAATGTTGTTTAGTATGCAACACCATCTTAGTTAAATATATGTGTATGTAAAGTTTCACACCATACTAAGTGAGAATTGTTCTTTGCATGCTGGACGGTCTGTTGTCTGCGGTTAGCTGAAGCTAACAGCTCCGCAGTTGTTCAGCATCCTGTTTGTGACATAAAGAAAACACTTCAGCTGCAGGTGTTTCAACACAGGGCTGTTAGTTTAAACTTCTTTAAACACGAAAAACACTTATGTGATAACATTTTAAATTCCATTAATCTCAGTATCTTTGTTTAGGCTCTGAATCTACCTTTTATGAAGGTAATCATTTGTTAGTTGTGTGATATCGTGGCACGTTTACCTGATCTGTGGTCACTCAGTTACATTTTATTTGTCACAGAAGCTTTTCACCTTTTCAGTGATTCTATCTTCTGCTTAAACTATTTTAAACATCCTAAATCATCTAAATAGTTTGTGTTTTATTGTACAGAGAGTGATTCTGCTACAGTCTACTCAGAAACGAGAATTGAAGACGTCAGTTATGGAGAAATCGTCATCAAAGACAAGAAGAAAAAGTCAAAGACAAAAGGTAGAGCTGCTCCTCTTTTTCTCCATCTGGGTTCGTTTCTACATCCAATCACTGAGCTAAATGCTAACATATGAATGCTAACACTTTAATAGTTCATAACATTTGAACTTCACATGTTCACCATCTTAGCAGCATGCTAATATTTAGTACTTACCAAGCATCGTGAACACAAGAAACAAACAACATACTGCTGCATTTAAACAGTGAGCTAAATTGGATCTTTGAGGTTTTAAGCAGCAAACGGTTCTTTTTACGTACATGTGCCAGTTTCCTGATTGGCTTCCTACGGTCATGTGATGATGAACATTTTCTCAGAATCCTCAGCTGTTTCGTGAAAAACTAAGTATACCTCATTGATTTATCTTCTTTTCTTCATCTTCTTCCTATCTATATGACTTTCACAGTCTTGTCATTGTGAAGGAATTTTGGCCCACTTTTCTTTGCATCATTGAATCAGGTCTTTGAGGTTTGTGGGCATTTGCGATGCACAGCTCTCTTAATAAGATCACTAACGGTCTCCTAAGCGTTCTAATCAGACTGAGGTCTGGGCTCTAACTGGAGTGTTGCAGCTTTGTTTTTTGGGTTCACATTAAACTCTAGAACACTTTGGAAGTTACTGGTTGGTTCATTTACTGCAAGGTGCTCAGGTCCTGTGCTTCAGAACAGGCCCAAATCCTCACACCTCCACCACCATGTTGACAGTCGGTATGTGGCGTCAGTGTTGATGTGCAGTGTTTGGTTTTCCCTCAAATGTTGTCTTGTGCATTATGGACAAACATTTACACTTTGGTCTCATCTGAGGACAAAGTTCCAGAAGTCTTGATTTTTGATTTCTTGGTTTGTTCAGATGCGAAAAATCCCAAAACAAAACATAAAGAGAGAAGACGTTTTCCCCTGGGAAGTCTTTTTTTATTTGAATTGTTTTAATTTTACCATAATGAACTTTAACATTTAGCATGTAAAACCTGTAGAGTCTGAGGTGTAGCTGTTGGATGTTTTGCAGTTTGGGGTCAATTTGCTGGGATGTTGACTGCTGAGGAAACTGCAGTAAACACTTGCTGATGATCAGTTAATTAAGTGCATTTGATTAGTGTTTGGCTGCTTATCTTAGAAATTCCTGTGGACACAATGAGGTTGTACTTAAACTTGTTATGTGACTGAAAATCCAAACAGTGGCTCGATTATTTACAGGAGCTTTATGAGGGAGGAATAAATCAGCAGCAGTTATATCCTGCAGTTCACATATGTTAAGGTCTGTCACTGTAAGACTAAATAAGGATTTTGTGTGAAGAAAGAATAAAAAATAAACATGTAACTTTTATTACCCTGGAAAATCTTGTCTGTTAATATTATCTGACATAACCAGACAACAGACTCACCTTCATGACACTAAAACAAATCTGGCATTAAGCTCAGCTCACTGTGGCAGTCTCTCTTCACAACAACCGCTTTAACTTGTGGCGTCAGCCCCAAACAGTCGCTGTAAGTTGTAATTTTGCTGTCAAACAATCCTAAACAGCTGCCGCTAGCGATGTCATTACCCCAAAAAAGGCACATCAGATTGGGCAGGTAGTAACATCTGAGGATGTCAGCAGGGTTGATGCTACAATTTGAGCTGAGCTGCCCGTGCTCGCTCTTAGACAAAGAGTTTTTTTATTAATGTTTTTTATTCATTCCTGTTAACAATAACCTTAGAGAAAGGCCAAAGATAACAATGTATTATTGGTTCTTTCAACACTTCCTGACAGCATGACTGTCTGTGGTGGCTCATTGGTTCCAACCGAATACATAAAATGTTAAAACACTAAAAATCTAACGTTCAAACTTCCTCTGTGTTGCTTCACTCAAAGAAACAGGAAACGCTGCACTTGTTGTCGATTTTCTTTAGCAGCAGATTAATCCACACTTGTTGCTGCAGGATGGTGTGTGTAAGCATGTTGTCATGATGATGAACAGACAGGTCATCCAGCTCAATAGTTCTGCTTTCTGATGTGATTTTAGCACAAATATGGCACATCTGCCATTTTCTTTGAGCGACATGTGGCTCTCAGCGTCTGCCTCAGCTTAGCCACAAGTGCCCTGTGAATTGACCTGATGCCATGTGTGCAGTAACATTTGGGCCACTTCTCTACCACAGAACATCCATCATACTGTAATAGAGCGATACATGCCAAAAGCAGCCCACATTAGGCCCAGATGTGCCTTGGTACACACACAAGATAGAGAAGCGACGTCCTGTGGTTGAAACCAGTTAGTCTGAAGCAGGTGAGATTTCAATCTGCTATGTGCTCTGGCTTGGATAGTAATAGTGTTCATGTTGTGAGACTGTAGCTTGTGGTGAAGTGTGTCATTTAGCATTGTAGAAGCAGCAGCTTGGTGGATGTCACCTTTCTTTTTCACACAAAACATCTCACAGGTTTATCCAGTCATTCATTGGCTCAGAGCAGAGAGGTGTTAAGAGGTGTGAGGTGCTGCTGCAGTGTATGAAGTACATGTACTTTCTACATGATGCAACATTGCAAATACAATTTTGACATATTTTTCGTGACCTAACAGTTATTCCCAGTAATCATATCAAAAGCAGTTCTGGAATCAGTTTTGAAAAAACTAAGCAGGTCGGATCAACGAGGTCCAGAGATAAAGCTCCTGGTTATGTTTAACCTTGAACAGAGTAGATTTACGTCCTCTTGCAGTCACTATTATGAGTGACATTATGACTCACTTTCGGGCTTTGGTCAGAATTGTAACTGATATCAAACTTCTCATCTTTCTCTGAAAGCAACCTTTTAATAAAGACATGTGAGCAGCATATGAGGTTAGTTATAGATGACCAACACCAAACTGGACCATCTCTACCCCCAACTGTCACTCAGCAACAGATCCCCACAGCGCTGCCTTCTCAGCCCCCTACTCTACACCCTGTACGACTATGACTGTACACCAACTCACCCAACCAACATCACTGTCAACTATGATGAAGATAAAACCGCACACAGGAGGTAGTGAACATCTCCTGGTGGTGCTCATAAATGAACCTCAAGCTGAATTCCCTTAAACACCCTGGTAAAGAAGGCCCAGCACTTCCTCCGTGTCCTGACGAAGAATAACCAGAAGCTGCTGCTGGCCTTCTCCTCAGTGGAGAGCCCGAGAGAACATGTTTGCTGGGGTGTTGTTTGAACACAGGTAGCTGTGCACTTACTGGACACTCAACTGTAGCTCTCATGCTGACACAGTGAACATTACCATTCAACAAGCATTAGACGACAGCTGTGCTTCATTTAGCTACATTAAAGCTCTACACAGCACAGAAAGTTGCCCACTCAAGCTGACAAATAATGTTCATTTAAAAGCTGAAATGGGAGAAAAAGCAACTGTAATTCTTCAAGTGCATCAATCAATCAAAGTAAAACATGGACTGGCATCAGTGAGTTTTGGGGGTATTTTTTTTTCTTTCCTTTTAGGAAGAAACTTTTTGGTCACCATGGATTACTTCTCTTTATCTACAGCTCACACTGTCTGTGGTGCACCACAAGGTTCAACCTTAGGTCCTATTTTTCTTTCTATTTAAGTTCTTCCATTTAAAAAACCCCCCACAACATCTCCTTTATTGTTACACCAGAGCCATACAGATATCACTTCCCAAAAGACCCAGCAGCTGTTTTAAATGATCTCAGTCACGTGACTGTAAATGTTGTCATAAAGCTGGCATCAGCTTAATACTACAGAGATGAGGTCGACTGAATCAGCTAAAAAACACATTTATATAAAACTCATTTTGTGTGATTCCATTACTTAATCTGTATCAGTAGGATCAGACGTCTGTGGCTGTGGTAGAGTTGGGTCATACCAGTCAGAAGGTCAGCAGATCAACCCATGACTTCTCCCTGAAACATCGATCGGAGTGTGACTGAGTGTGTGAATGCCAGAATGCTTAGGCACAGATAAAAGTACTGTATGTGCTTGTGACTGGGTAAATTAGAGTTGGACAAAGAAGTCAAACTAACAACTGAACATCTGCCTAAAGAACAAATATCTGAACATACCTGTAGAGTCCTAGTTATAATTAGACCATTCAGGCCTGTGGTACAGCAAAAGTTTTCAGTGTTGACACAATTGTACAATTGTAACCATGCTCTCTGGTCTTTCTGGGCTATGGGTGTGTGGTGGGCTTTCTCTTAAAATGATCTTTTATTTAAAACAAACAAACAAAATCACCAACAGGGCAGGACGGTGTGCACTCAACCTTTTACTCTATCGTCTCCTCGACACACATGGCACACAGGATACGTTACTCTCCATAAAACAGTCCCTTTGTAACCACTAGGTAGGAACAAAAATTACCTCCTACAAGATGCCTTGTATGAAGTAGTTAAATATGTAAAACAAATATGTAAGCCGGGTCATTTTCTGTCTGAGACACGAGTTATTCCCATCATAAAAACAGAAGACAGATAAAGTTAAAAAAAGAAACAAAAAAATGGTTTCGGGATGGTTTCTTGTGAGGAAGGACGTAGTGTCTTTAGAAAATCTTGCTGACTCTTGCAATGCAGACAGGCAGCAGACTTTAGAGGTGGTTCCTGTTTTTACGTCTCACACCTCCGCCCATCTGTCAGGGTGGAAAAAAAGAGAGAAGTTGGAATCAACAAGTGTTTGACTTTTTAATGTGGCTTTTTGTTAATTTCATGGATGATTCAAGTAACAGTTAAAGTGTGGGCAGCATGGAAACTGTGATTTGTATCTGAAGTAGTTCCTAGGAGCTTCTCAAGCAGTCCTTTAATACGATTCATTAACTTATCTTTTTTTAATCTGCATGTCAAACCACAGCAGAAACTTCCTCGTGTAGCCTGAGGCCAGATGCAGTGCAGTTTGCTTTGGGTTGGCTAACAGCGGAGTGTTGCAATAAGATGTTTGCTTCATGCACTGTGGGGAAAGTGTGGCAGTTTGCAGTAAAAGAGCACGGCGGTTTTGTGGATGTCACCTTTGTTTTTCTCATAAACACCTCACGCTTCTATCCACTCACTCATTGGCTTACAGCAGAGGTGTGAAGGGGAGAAGAGATGTGAAAACCCCTTTGGAGTTTAAAAAATACTCATCACTTGTATAACTTGTATTCTTCATGATGCAACATAACAAATAAAGTGTTTTGTAGTAGCTGTGGTGTTGCAGTTGTTGTACCTGCAGTGATTTAAATGTGTTTTATTTTACAGAGAGTGACAGCATGGCGGTCTACTCCTCAGTGAAAACTAAAGACCTCAGTTATGAACAAGTAGCCATCAGCCCAAAGAGAACCAGAGGTACAGCTGCTCTTTATCTCTCACTTTAAACAGAGCAAAGCTACCAGTGTCATGCTAAGCTAAGCTAACCATGTTCTCACTCAAGCTCAGGATATCAACCTTCGCATCTTGAAAGACGCAGGAACCAAACAACTTCCTCCTCGTCTTAGTGTGATGCATAAGCATACTACACTGATAACAAGTTTTCAAATGACTAAACCAGGGTGTTTTTAGACAGAAGACGAACCAATTAGCTCAAGGCCCAACGTAAGATAAAGAAGCATTTTTCTTTTTTGAGAACGAGTTTCAATTTCAAGTGCTGCACCAATTTGAGACAAATTTAAGAAAACTAACAAAATAAACAGCCAAAATCAACCCACACAAGAAGGAAATATCTCAGTGGTCACATTTTAGTGAAGGGCAGGGGTTAATGTGTGATTTGGCAGGTGGGGAAACCTTAAGATTGGCTGTAGTGGTGCAGCACATAGTAATGTATCATGTGGTAGACTTTACTGTGGGTACAGGCTGTGACTGATATTCACTGATCGTTGTGAACTGAGCCAGCTGATTTAATCACGTAAAAGCAGATGTTTCATGAGCTGTCATAAATTTTAAACCCCTGATAATAGACAGCTAATTTCAAAGGTAGAATTTACTGAGTGAACATCATCACCTTGAATTTAGATTGATGCCTACTGCCTTTGCTGCAACCTACATGAAAACCACAGCCTGCTGTGTACAGTGCAGCATAGAGTATATATGGATACTTAAGTCTGTTTGCAGGATATTTCATGAAAAACAAATCAACAACACACCTAGTTACCAGTGGACCATCCTGGTACATTGTAGACAACATGTAGCCTCAGCTTTTAGTGTCAAACTGCTAATTTTGTCACCACAGACCTACAGACTAAATAGGGACGTTGATCATTTGACGCTTAAAGTTTGTTTCAGTCGGTACAAAAGTTAAAGCAGGGTAAAACAGTAAAAAAAAACCAACCCAGCAATGCCTCAGATGATGGTGTGGAAACTATTTCTGTGTTTCATGTGAGGATTACACTGTTTCCTCTGAAAATCTTGCTGAGTTGCAAACAGGCGGCAGACTCTGGAGCCGGTTCCTGTTTTTAAGCGTCGCTGCTCGTCCTGTCTGATAAAATCTGTCAGTTTAAATTTAAATGTCATTCAGTGACGCTGATGAGCTCATTACTGATCATTAATCGTGTTTCCTGTTGTTTCAACTGCTTGTGTTCAGACTTTAAACCAGAGTCAGAGGTCGTCTACTCTTCACTGAAGTAGTCCACCAGTCCAACCACAGATGTCCAGCTGCTGGTCTCTAACTGGTTCCCCCAGCACCTCAGACCAGAGGACATCCACATGTTACAGATTTTATTAAATATATTTTATGTCTTAATCTCCTGTTGTTGGACCCGTGATTCATAATTTGCATTTTGATGCAAAATCAGCAATGTGAAATATTTATATAAATAATGTAAAATAGGGATATTTGTATGTAACATTAAAAAGTTCCAGATGTTTTGTGGTATTTATTTACATTTGTCTTGCTCCTGTTCCCACGCAGCATGGGGTCGGTGGTATCTCTGTGGTATTGATTAAATTTTGCTCTCTCATGCTCCCCGTGTGGTTCTGTGGGTTTCAAACACGGGGGGAGATGGAAAACTTGATTTGCTCCACTTTTGTTGTGGCTTACCAATACAAGCCTGGCTTCAGTGCAGAATACAAAACAACAAGATGTATATTAAACCACAGCCACAGACTCAAAGCAGCAGGCACTGCAAACTGCACAGAGCAGCGTCAGCATGCTTGATGGAGGAAGAGGTTTACTGCTGTAGGCATCCAGAAACCACCTGCACAGCAGCTGGCATGGAAACACGTTTACATTTAAATCAATATGGTTTCTGGCAGCAGTTTCTCTCAGTTTTCTCTCAAACATGAACATGTTTTGGGGTCAACAATATAACAAACCTGAATAGTTAGTTTTCATCATAGTTGCCATTTTACAGTTATTACAGTTTTATTTATTTATTATTATTGTCACACTCAGTATTTTAGGATAAAACATGAAACTGAAACATTTTGGTGTCTAATAAAATGCACACTTATGACCACGTGACTCTGACTGGCTCCTGATCCAGCACAGAGCTCAAACAGTTACCTCTCAGTAAAGCTGAAAAGCAAAGGCAGATTTAAAGTCTGCTGCCCTCTACTGGTTAAACCTGGTGTTACAACAGAGCGGTTGCTGTGACAGCACTTGAACCTCTACTAGAAGATGTCACATTTTAAATCAGTTATCTTATACTCTCAAATTAGGTACAACACATAGATAGAAAAAAATCAATGACGGTAAAAGGATCACCAGTGTGTGGATAGCAAATTTCCCACGTGTGGGACTAGTAAAGGTTTATCTAATCTAATCAGGAGGTTAGAGTCACTAACATGTGAGATTTTACTGTTTATCTCACCTGGTCTTAGAATAACTGGGAGTTGCTGGAATAAAGCCCATCTGTCCCTGATCAGCCTGCTGCACATCATTCTTTATAATAGAGTAGATCTGCACATTTTTTTCTCCATCTGACTGCACAATGTAAATAGATCTAAATCTAAAGATATGAAAAGGATCACAGATATGTACTCATCCAGGTCTTTAAGACATCCTTGTAACTAACTGATTAGCATCGTCTGGCTTCATCGATAAAGATGGCTGGGTATCTCCATTGCAATGAAAATAGGTTTTCAATGCCTAAAGCAAGTGTGTATAACATAAAGCATATTGGCTGGAGCACAAAACCCTGTAATTAATTAGTTACTAGTTACTTCTTCAAAAAAGTAACTACCTGAGTTAGTCATTGGGTTAAAATATTCTTAAAGGAACTAGTTACTAAGAAAAGTAACTATTGTGTTTGTTTTTTACTGTTATTTTTCCAATTTGACATACTGTATTAAAGTAAAACTGCATTGCTTGCGTGCTGGTTTGGCCTATCAACACAATTTAAAACTTGGTGTGTAGTTTGAAGTCAACACTTTTAACACAAAACTGGAGACTCAGGGTTGACTTGGGTTGATGTAGCATCTTGTTGCTATGTCATCTTAAATTGGTCATGTGATTGGTTTACCATGGCTACTATATTCCTCAGCCAATCAGCAGCACTCATGTGCACTCGCGTTACTTTTAACGCTGTTATTCCCATCACCCTCTGACTACAGAGGGTAACAGTGAGCAGTGGTGCACAGGAGCAACTAGAACATAGGTGTCAAACTCTGGCCCGCGGGCCAAATTTGGCCTAATTACATTTGGCCCGCGAAGCCATACAAAATTACTGACTACGATGACCTGGATGACTGAGAACCTTCACAGACATACAAAAAAAAAGAAATACAAAATTACCATTAGAGCTGGCCTGCCAGTATTATACAGTGCATGTACTGCTAATACTACAATTCCCAGAATTCTCTGTTGGTGTTTTGGCATGTCAACTGCCAAGTGGGCTCATTTTGACCCCATCTTCCAACGATAACAGCAATCCAAAGAAGTATTTTCTTCTAGAAGTAAAGTAAAGTAAATAAAGTTCTTATTATTAAAGTTGTCATTGTAATTTTGAGCAAAAAGCCTCTAGGCCAGGGGTGGGCAATCTCAGTCAACGAGAGCCGGTGTCCCTGCAGGTTTTAGATCTCACCTTGGGTCAACACACCTGAATCACATGATTAGTTTGTTACCAGGCCTCTGGAGAACTGCAGGACATGTTGAGGAGCTAATTTAGCCATTTCACTCAGCTGTGTTGGTTCGAGGACACATCTAAAACCTGCAGGGACTCTGGCACTCGTGAAATGAGACTGCACACCCCTGCTCTAGGCTCTATGCTGGCCATTTGGGCACCCCTGTTGCTCTGCACAGCCAGCAACCTGCCTGGTTCTCCACATAATCATGATCCGATCTCCTCCATCTCAGCAGCATTCAGTCCTGCAGTGATTATCTAACATCTAACTACAGTCCCAGATATATTTGTCTACTGGTCACATCTAGCTAGTTATGGTGCATGTTATAGCAGCCTAAAATGCAGCAGATATTCAGCTTTAAACTGATTTCTTTGTGACATTAGAAGTTTGACATCTTGAGTCAGGCTGGCTTAGCTTAGTTTAGCATAAAGACCAAGTAACTTTTAACTCTTTTCAAAGTTAAAGAGTAGCTGTACCTCTGGATGTCTTTGATCTGACGAGCGCAGTACAAAGTAACACATTTCACCACAGGGGACAAAGAAAACATGTTCTCACAACAAGAATACTATTCTTAGCCAAACCAAAAAAACATGGCTTCTAACTGTAGGTAAGTAGAACCAACATGGTGGCTTATTCAGCAATGACAAGCTGCATCTTGTCTAATCATTCTTTGTGTATCTGTAACAGTGACACATTCTAATAACTTGATTTAGAATAAATAAAAACTTGTCCTTAACCACATACTGTAAGCTTTACATGAGTGGCTGGTGAATGTAAAATGAACTTCTTACGTGTCATGCCATGTTTTAGGTCTTTCAAGTATCGGGGATATTTATTTTTCACTATTTTTGGGCACCAAATCTTTTAATTCTTCTGAAGTACAATAAAAAAGTTAGTTAACTAAAGCTGTTTCATTGTGTTTGAGTTCTAATTCAACAGAATTACTTTTGACTGAGTTTCTAACTTTTTGACTCCTAATATTAAATATTAATTAATATTTAATATTTAATTAATATTAAGTGATTATAAATGGAGGTTTTAATTTGTACACTCATGAATCTTATCAGCTGCTAAACCACGGACCTTCTTAATATCATCATATTTAAACAACACATTTCCAGTGGGGAAACACTGGCCCTTGAAACAACTGAATTTTTGTCAAAAGTTATGCCAACTATTTGACCTACAGTAATTATTATAGATTTTTCTTTAACGTCTGGATCTGTTCTTCTTTTAAAAATAGAAAACCTAGATGCTGCTGTTCAAGGAAGATTTGACTGGACCATGTTCTGTATCTCCATTGCTAAGTTGGCTGTTCCCTTGGAGGCTTTGAGACCTTGGAATAACTCAAGACACAGTGAAAAGATAATTTCTCTGGGAGAGATTATGTCTCTCAGCTGGCTTGGCAAGTCATTGGAATTCCCTTACAAGAGTTAAAGAAGATATCTCAGGAGGGAGAGGTCTGGGCATCTTTGCAGCCCAAACTAAGATGAACAGGAGAAAATCAATGGATGCAAATAAATGGTTGCATGGTAGAAGAGATGGGATGGGACTTTTTGCCCAGATTGTTTAATACAATCTTGGGGTAAGAGGATGCCTGAAAAATGAAGAAGTCTACTGGTACTGAGTTTCAAGAACAAGGCTGATGTACAGAGCTGCAGTAATGACAGAGGGATAAAATTGATAAGCCACACCATGAAGCAACATGAAAGAGTTGTTGAAGGTAGGTTAAGTAAAGAGGTGATGATCAGTGAGCAGCAAAATGGCATTGGAGGCAAAGTTAAAGAGGCAAGGCTGGGAGAATTTGGACATGTGCTGAGGAGTGGTGGTTAGGTTGGACAAAGGAGGTTGAAGATGGAGCTGCCAGGAAGAAGGAAAGAAGAAAGACAACAGAAAAGGTTAACAGATGTATTGCAAAGTGTTGGTGTGACAGAGGAGGATAGGGCTGTGGTGAGATGAAGGCAGAGGATCCACTGTGGTGACCGCTGTACGAGATCATTTTAAATAAATCATATTTCTACTGACACAGAGATTGGAATATACCTGTTAATAAATTATGCTTCTCTTTTGAAACAGTCCTGTGTTTAAATGACTGAAGGTGAATCTTTTTAACAGGAAACAGGAAGATGGACAACTGCAAAGCTGTTTGTTTCTGTTAACCAAAGCAAACAAAACACACAGTCCAGCACACCAATAACAATGGTCAACACACAACTTTAAAGAAAAACACTATGATCTGATTAGGATGATGACACAGTTAAATTGTAAGTATGAAAGTAACTCTATCAAACTAATAACTGTGATTTCAGGGTTAAGCTTAAATATAACATCTGTAAAAAAGTGTTTTTTGTTTACACTCAGTTGTACACTTCTGATCATCTCTCACATGTTCCATGATGTTTTCAGATAAATCAATCATAATCATAGACAGAACCAAACTAAAACCAAACTTATAGCGACTAAAACCAAGTAAGCCTCTTGGAAAGGTAAATAGCAGAGAACATGTCCTCATAGTGATAAAGAGTAGCCAGATTCCAAAAATATTTGGAACAACAAATACTCAGCAGTTATACATGTTCCATCTATGGGGCAGATGGTCTAAGCTCCAGTCTACATGAAACGAGGAATAACCTGAAATGGAAGATGAAAGCTGTATGATAGAATTACCACTAACCTCTTAATAAAAACAAGACTTTGTTCCAAAACAAGGTTTAAAAACAAGTTTGACCTTACATAAATATATATCTATTATGTCACAAGTTCCATTGCAATCCCAAATGCAATGACAATAAAGGCTTTAA